ACCTTTCTTTATTGCATCTCTCACCCAAGTAATCAAACTGTCCTGTACTAAAGTAGCTAACTGATTGTGGGAGCAAAGAGATCCAGTCTTTTTCCCCCAAATAGCATTTAGGAATTAACTCCCCACACAGAGTGCGGAAACCCCAGAACAAAAGGCATTATTAGCATTCCTTTGCCATTGCGGCCCTCTGCTGGTATAAATGAAGTGTGGAGATCGATGATGTTATTTGCTTATGCTCTAGTCTAATTTTGTTGAGAGAGGAGCTTTAATAAGCTATCATTTCTAGATCTCTGATCTAAACTTTTCTTTACTTGTCTGGCACCCTCACCCACTGTGAGGTTGGAAATGTTGACCAGGAAAACTTAAGACTTTTTCTTTGCCTTGCATGACACTATTTCCTGTGGTCTCCTCCCGCTCTCTAAACACTGCTCTATTTCTCTGGCTCCTCTTCACCTTCACTTCCCTACAAAGTCCTAGCCTAAATCCTCTTCTTTCTATAGGTTCTTTCCTTTAACATTTGTATGGTTCTATCAGTTCTAGGAGTATCTCCCAAATGCTGTATCTCCTCCAATGCTCCTGATCCATATTTGAAACCATTTACCAAGAACTCCACTTGATGCTCTCTGGCACCGCAACATCAGTGTCTCCTAATCTGAGTTCTTCATCTTCTCTGCATTAAGACAAATGATCCAAGCCTGGAAATAAGGCCAAAAGATTACTGAGAGCCATTTCAATGCCTTATATCATACTAGAGCAGTGGTTCTCAAAGCGTGGTGCTGGATCAGCAGCATCAGCATCACCTGGGAAATTGTTAGAAATGCAGATTCTTGGTTCTACTCAAGATCTACTGAGTCAGAAATCGTGGGGGTGGAACCCAGAAATCTGTGGTTTAACAAGCCTTCCTGGTGATTCTGATGATCACTCAGGTTTGAGACCTGTTGAACTGGAGCTGGGATCAGCAAACTCTGCCTTTGGGCCAAATCCAGCCTGATGCCTGTTTTTACAAGGGTGCATTGGAATGTGGATGCGTTACAGCATTTACTTATGTATCATTTATGTCTGCTTTCACTCTACAACAGAACTGAGGTGAATGGTTGCGAGAGAGACTGTATGGCCTTCATAGCCTAACAGATTCACTATCTGGCCCTTTACAGAAAAAGTTTGCCAACCCCTGGACCAGAGCATCATCTGCCAAAACCTCCTAAGGGTCATAGATGGTCTAGGGAAAGATAACTTTATGTGACTTACTATTTATTATTGAGTTCGGCCCAGAATCAGGAAAGTTAGGTGTTAATTATGGAAGATTGATAAGCTACAAATGATTTTTGTCTATCTGATACATGTGAAAATGATTTCTCTCTGCTAGAGTTAATCACAAAGGCAAGAATTTTATTGTCCTGTAGAATGTTAGCCAATTTTGGATCTAACCTAGCAATCATATCCCAGCAGTTTTTTCCTTTCATTTTATATATGTATACACACATATATTTCATTGTATATGTATATACACATATACCATGGTCTCACATATCCTCCTCTGAACCAGTTTTACATTCTTCTGATTACTAAGTTAAATAAGTCTTTGAAGCATGCTTACTATATACTTGTGTAAGAGTCATCTTAATTTTTTTTTGGAAATTTATACTTTGACACTGACAAGAGTTAATTCCTCTTATATATCCTATCCGTTACCCTCCTTCAATCTCCTAGTTACACAGACTTGAAACCTTAGCACCAGTTTTAATTCCTCCCTTAGTCTTCAAACAAGTCAGTCTCCAAATCTCGCTGGTTTTACCTCCCACAGGTTCTCTTTGAGCCATCACCTCTATTCTATTTCCATGACTGCAATCTGAGTTTAAGCCTCTTTTCCCTCTTTCCTAAACTTTTACAGCAGCCCCTAACTGGCTCATTGTAACCAATCCAGTCTACACAAGGTTGCTAGAAAAATATCCCCAAGGAAAGCTCTGGTCATTTCACTTCCCTACCCAAAACCCTTTGGTGATTCCTCTTTGTTCAATAATAAAGGAAAGCCTCAGTTCCTTAGCCTGATTTTTTTTTTTTTTAAGATTTTATTTATTTAATTTTCCCCCCAAAGCCCCAGTAGATAGTTGTATGTCATAGCTGCACATCCTTCTAGTTGCTGTATGTGGGACTCGGCCTCAGGATGGACGGAGAAGTGGTGCCTCGATGCGCACCCGGGATCCGAACCCGGGCCACCAGCATTGCAGCGCGCGCACTTAACCACCAAGCCACAGGGCCGGCCCCCTTAGCCTGATTTTTAAGGATCTCCAAAATTTGACCCCACACTTATCTTCCTTGACTACTCTGTCCCTCCTCACCCCATTCTCTGTGCCCATGTACACTCTCTTTGCCTTCCTTCATATTGCCCCTCTGCCTATAATACCCTCTGTCCAGTTTCTGCATATCCAAACCTAAATGTTCTTTAACCCTTGGCTAGAAGTTTCACCATGCTGATCCTGTTAACCAAAAGTCATTTCTCTCTCTTCTGAATTCCCAGCACATTTAATTTGTATCTTTTTTATGGCACATATCACTTTCTATTTTGTGACATGGTCCTTTATGGACGTTTCTGTGGTCTCATTGTAGGACAGTATCTATGATCCAATTTTGTATCCACATTATTACCTAAGTGTGCTAATATAGATGAGAGCCAGCGAAATTTTTTGAGGAGGAGCTGCTGAAAAGTTAAAATCTCAACTGAAACAGTAGCACCAAATTAATTTTTCAATGTATAAAATCTCATCGAAGTATATTTTCCCAAACTATCTCTTTGTGAATATTTTCTTTTCCTCATTTAAAAAATATTAACTATTTAATATTAAAGGAGAAAAATGAATATTCTTCAAAAATTAAATGACTCTTGGGCTGGCCCCGTGGCTTAGCGGTTAAGTGCGAGAGCTCTGCTGCTGGCGGCCCGGGTTCGGATCCCGGGTGCACACCAACGCACCGCTTCTCCGCCCATGCTGAGGCCGCGTCCCACATATAGCAACTAGAAGGATGTACAGCTATGACATACAACTATCTACTGGGGCTTTGGGGGAAAAAAAAATTAAATGACTCTTCCTTTTTTCTATTTGATGTATCTTTTCTCCATAAATAAGATTTCTCATTTCATTGTGGCAAGTCTCAGCATTTAACCATTCAGTGTTCTTAATTCATTAATGGAAATGACAGTTTTCTATATGGACACACCCACCAAAAGGGCTCCCTGATACAAGTGTTTGTTCGTGAAGCCCTAAAATCTTTATTTGGTCTTTTAATTTATTAAAAAAGCATAAGCAACACACACTTTTTTAACTGGGAGGAATCTTAGTGTTTAAATCCTGGTCACCTCCAAATCACTCAGGGCGAAGGAAGCTATGGCTCATCTGCTGTCTCCTACCTAATGGCTTTCATTCCCATCAAACGGATGGATTTCTCACCAGTAGCATCGGGAGAGCTTGTTTCAAATGTGTATTCCTGAGACCCACCCAAATTCAGAACTTTTGGGACTGGATCTCCAAGAAACTTTATTTTTATTTAAACTCCCAGATGATTCTTATGCACCCTGAAGTTTGTGAATCACAGGCTAAATTCTTAACCTCTTCTAAATTCAAAGAGAAGCAGAGACCCCTACAGAACTGCCCAAGTGCACCTTAAACAAACCAAGAGTGTTGAGAGAGTCTGTCCATCTTCTCTTCTGTCTCAAAGTACCTTTTTTGTTTACAACCTTCCCTTAATATTTTGTTTTGAAAATGTTCAACAGAAAAGTTGAAATAATTGTGCAGTGGACACTCATATACTACACCATTAACATGTTATTGCAGTTGCTTTCTCACAAGTCTATCCTTTTATCCATCTCTCTGTTCATCAATCCGGCTTATTTTTTTAGATGAATTTCAAAGTAAATTTTAGACATCAATAGCGTCTAATTTGGGATGGTGGTGACTTGAAGAATAAGAGGGCAATGAATCCTTGTAGCCCTTGTGAAAACACAGTGGCCTCATTTTATGGGACAGGATTGGTAGCTGCTTGTCCTTGGCAGGACATTTGGAATGCATTTAATCAAAGACAGAAGGATAGCTTTTGCTGGCTGCAGACAGCCCCCGCAGAGTAGTATCTACTTGTCTCTATTCATTTGAATGGGAGCTTTTGTTTTGTTACTGGAAGAAGAAAGGGAGGTTTGGGGCCCTGGAGAAAGGAAGATAAATGTGGAAGCAGATGGCAGCAGTAACCCCTCCCCTCTTCCATGGGTTTTGAGCCCCTAATGGAGAGATGGCTTAGAGGTTGAGGTTTCCTGGTTTAGTGGTTAGCAGCAACATTTCAAGTCAGACTGCCTAGGCCTGCATTCCAGCTGCCCCTGGCTGTTTGACCTTGAATATAATATTCATCGTCTTTGCCTCAGTTTTCTCATCTGTAAAATGAAAGTAATGATAGTACCCACATTAAATTGTTGTGGAGAAAATATGTGTGACTGACACGTATAACTCAATCAACTTCAGCTGCTAAAATATAATGACATTCCTTAATGTTTCCTTAAGTTCACACAAAATTAAAGTATGTGACTGTAGCAGCTGGTGAACAAGAAAGAGACAAATAAACTAAATGATGTTGACAAGTAAGCCTAAAAGGAATTCAGAGAGATGCAGAAGGGAGCAATCCTGAAAGTCCTTCCAGACAACCCATTGCACTTAAAATAAAATCGAATTTCTTCCCTTGCTCTGCAAGGCCCTTCCATCACCTGCCTTTGCCTACATCTCCAACTTCACCGCCTCTCCTCCCTTGCTTAGCCCTAGCCACACCAGCCTTTGGTTCCAGAATGAGCCAAGCTCATTTAGTCCTCAGGAGATTTGCACTTGCTCTTCCCTTTGCACGCGTCTCTCCCCAGATCTTGACAAGGCGTTTGACGAGGCGGTAAGGCCTAGGGGTGGCAGGAGGCGGGGCGGAGCGCGAGAAGGGGCGGGGCGGGGCGGAGTCGGCCGGAAGCGGGGGCGGCGGCCCAGGAAGTGACGGCCCTTCCCGGGGACTTCTGGAGTCGGTGAAGTCCGCGACCGCACCCCTGCGGCCGCTGTGTTCCCAGGTCCTGGGTGATGGAGAACGGAGCGGTCTACGGCCAGACCACGGAGGAGAACCCGGGCCCTGCCCGGGGCGCCCGGAGTGCCCTCGCCGCCTACTTCTTCCTGGGCCGGCTCAAGTGGCATCGGCGCGTGCTCAAAATCTTGCAGCTGGTGAGTCCGCGGCCGGGGCGGGCGAGCTGGGGCGGGGAGCGGGGTCTGGCCCCGGGGCCGCCGGGCTGCGGGCTTGGGAGGCTGCCGAGCCGCTTCTCCTCAACCTGGTTGTTCAGGAAGCGGCCGTTTCCGCACCCCAGTTCCTTCCCTCTCCGCCTGAGGAGGGGGCGTTACCCTCCGGGCCCCCCTCCCGGCGGGCGGCCCCTCTTCCTCAGGACTTTCCCCGCTAGGTCCCCGATGGCCACCGAGCGTGTTAGGCGGGTCCAGGAAATGCGTCGGAGGAGAATCAAGTCCTTCTGCTTCTTTCACTCCTCTCCTGTAGCGCCCTTCGTCTCTCCTCCCAGCTGTTACTCCTGCATTATCTCCCAGAGTGCCTGTATTTAGACTAGGAAGTGCTCTTTATCTTTCTCTGTGTTTTCGGTCTTCCTGGTGCGAGCCCATGGGGAAGTTTAATTTGTTGGATGAAGTCTTCCGATACCACGCATGGCGTTGAGCTGTGTGTGTCCAATAAATTGTCTCCCAAAAGTTTTATATTGACTGGAAAATATTTCCGAATGAGCAATATGTGTGTACGAAGTACAAAGTCAAAAGGACAGCTTTTTGTTGTTGTGTCCAGCTAGCAGAACTAGGGCATGATCTACTTCTCTCTTAATTTCTTTGAGTTTCAGTTTACTTTAGGTAGTTAAGGTACCTTAAACCTATTAGTGAAAATATCAAAACATGTTTGAGATTCAAATTTTAATTCCGTTTACACACATATTGAGCTGCTGTATTCTGTTTTAACCAACGACGAGCAGCATTTTCTGCAAGAGGAAATAGACTGCTTAGAATGTTTAGGGATTAGTTTGTTTTTCTAACCCAGCACAAGTAAAAATAGCAGATTGGTTTCCTTGGGAAGAACTTAAATTCTTAGAACTCAGATAACCAGAACTTACATGCTTAGAACTCAAATGACCTACATTTATTGAATAGAAAAACAGTCAGAAAACCGGCGGTACTTTTTAGCAACCAAAATGATTACATCTGGGGATAATTGGGAAATCACTTGGAGGTAAGTGACAGTGTGGCCTGTGGAACCCAAGAGGGTCTGACCTCTGTCTCTCTCTCCAGCCTTCTTTTAGATAGTTCCACGTTGGCACCCTTTAGCTTCTTACCAAGCATCAGAGGTTCCCTCCTGCCATTGTTCCTGTGCATGGGCTGTCCCTTCTAGCCAGAAGTGCTTCCTTCTGCTCTTTCTCTTGTCAGCTCACACATGACTCTTAGATATTAACTATGTTTCTCTGCCGTAGAGCTAAAATGTCGACATGAATAGAACTCTTTAGAACAGAAAAGAATAGAGAAGAACAGATAAAAGAAAATATTCATCTGAAGCATTCTTACTGCTCAAAAGACATCATCATCATTGGTGCGCTGCCCATTAAATCTCCTGTTTTCAGTTGCCTTTATTTTTCCTTCCTAATAGAAATGGCAAAGCTGAAGTAAAATTTCTCGTTACCTTATTTATAATTTAATAAACTGTAGTTCCATATCTTCTGAATAAATACAGTCAGAAACTTTGGTGGGAGATTTTTTTACTTGGACGCGGAGAAGACGGGAAGATGAATTTGTCTTGCGAGAGTTGTTAGACTGTTCCTGCTTGTTCTCCATCATCCATTAGCAGAAAGAGAGAAAGAATAAAAACTAATGTCTCTTCTTGAAATCTGTTTATTTGTTTATGGGGAACTTGCAGTGTTACAAGAATGCTTTCTTTAATATAGATTTTTAAAAATATTTCTTCATTACTGCCTTTCATTTTGATGGTTGTCTTTTTGTTCGTGCTTTGTTTTCATAATGTCTTATCTCTTTTGCTTTGTTTTCATAATGTCTTATCTCTTCGTAACAGTATATTACAGGAGTTATGCAGAAAGTCCCAAGAAAGTTATACATGAAGTAAATTAAAACTGTCATCCAGCCTGGGGCAACAAGCAAAGTCTTCTTTCCCTTAACTCAAATTCTGCCTTTAGGTTATTTCACTTTAGATGATTTATTTTTAAAAATTAAATAGAATTACAGAGCTCCAATAAGAAAACAATAGTAGGGCCGGCTCCATGGCTTAGCGGTTAAGTGCGCGCGCTCTGATGCTGGCGGCCCGGGTTCGGATCCCGGGCGTGCCCCGAGGCACCACTTCTCCGTCCAACGCGAGACCGAGTCCCACGTACAGCAACTAGAAGGATGTGAACCTATGACATACAACTATCTACTGGGGCTTTGGGGGGGAAAAAAATGAATAAATAAAATCTTTAAAAAAAAAAAAAAAAAAGAAAACAATAGTAATGGAGAAACCCATAATCAGTAAAGGAGGTTCTTTAACAAGAACCTTTAACAATGCAAAACTCGATGACATTTTATTCAAAATGTAGTGCATTTCTGTGTTTGGGTACGTTATTCTAGACCCATAAATCTTTATCAGAGTCTCAAAGACCCCCAAAGAGAAAGGAACCTTGCTCTAAAACATATAAACCAGATACTGTGTACCTAGGAAATTCTTAGATTAGAATCCTAGGAGGTTGAATTAGATTTCCTCTGAGGTTTCTTTCACTTAAGATTTTTGCAAATCTCTGAGGCTCTGTGGGGAGTGCTGTTACAGAGCTGAACACAGAAGGAGTGGAGAATGGAGCCTGCAAACACAAAAGAGGAGGTTAGAGATAACAGAGCATAACTGATCTTGAGTTAAACAGCTGTGTCTGCCATTCAGATATGACCTGAATTTTGTCAAAGGCTTGTCTGAAACATAAGCATCCCCTAACTCTCACCTACCCTTGCAGAGCTGAAGAAGAAATACTCAGCTGAGAATTCAATGTAACGGGTCATTGCGGTCCTAAATTTATACAGTCAGTTTATTTATTTATCACATTATTCTATCCTTAGGTTGGTCCTTAGGCCCATATTTTATTTTGTGAGTTTTTTGTTATTGTTATTTTTGAGGGAGTTTGTTTTCGTTTGAAGGGTGAGAATTGACATTTGGCAACCTAATGCTAATAAGCTGGTGCAGTGATCTAAATATGTGTAATATTCTCTCTGCAACGAGGTGACGTTGTGGTTAGGGCACCAGTTGAATGTCCTGATGGCTGCACGCTACTATGATTATAATGGCTCTTCAGGCAAGCAGTTTTACAATTCACCAGTGATTTAAATTTATTAAATTATAAATAATGTTACTCTGTAAGTGCCAAGAAACAAATTACTTAGAAGCAATTTATATTATGTTGGTGCTCTTTTCATTATTTAAATGTGAAAATAGGTATGTACTAAATTGAAAAGCTCTATTTTTACCTTGAGGAAGATCCGTAATGTCAGCAAATTGTATCTTTGAACCTTTGTGAGAGTAAATGTTTGCCTAAGACTAGGGAGGCGTAGCCTGACGGCTTTGTTTACTTGATCCTTACATATGACTACAAGGTTTTTAATAGCAAGTTCATTAATTCACAAATTAATATAATTTTGTAGATGGAGGCTTATAATTAATGGCAAACATTAAAAAGTTCGTTTTATGAGAAATTTTTTAATAGTAGACTTAAAGACAAATAATGACGCATTAGTATTTAATATAATGACTGTTCATTTTAAAGAAGACTAAGTTTCAGAAAAGGTAGTGAAACTGAGGGGGAGAGAGGCACTGGGTAGTCATTATCTGAATGTTTAAATCGCCAGAACTGTGAGTAGTCATCTTTCAGTCACTAAGACTTCCCAAGTGTGTTGATTCTAGCAAATTGGTTGTAATGTATCATTTAACAGCAAAAGGGAAATGCACAAAACTAAGATTGTAACTTCAAAAACCCAGTCTTACAGGGAAAACCTACACAAACATACATGGTTGTAAAATGAGCTTAATAAAGTGTTTTATGGGAGGAGCAAGTACAGAGGGGGAGTCAGAGACCTGGGTTCTTGTCTGTGCCCGGCTAACCTGGGACTTAGCCTGTCAGAGATGAATTCCATCATCTGTAAACTTAAGGGTGGGAGACTGTATGCTCTCCAAGGCCCCCCCCTACTCTGAAAGCTTGATAATTCCCTTAATTATATTTGGATAAAATTTTATGTCACTAGAAGGAGCCGCATTGGATTACATTTGTTAGGCAGTTAGCTTAATATTCAGTAAGCAGTATTTGGTATAATGTCTTCATGCTATTGAGAGCAGAGCTACTTACCAGAAAATAATAATTGAGCCTTTTAACTTATGGGTTACATTCACCCTTATTTCCTTACCCAATTCAATGGCCTTATCTCTTTTCCTATCCTTAACCCACTTTGGTGTTTAATGCTGGTGACCACCCACTTCTCGAAATTCTTCTTTCCCTTAACATTTTTTTTTCTTTTTAATACAAAAAAAGTGTCTGCTTACCAAACAACATCAACTAAAAAATATGATTAAAATAAAATAAGCCACATTTTCCCCTCACATTCTCACGTTTCCCAGCATCACTGTTTGATTAACAATTTGGAGTATGTTTACTTGCTTTGTAAGTTTTCCTAGGAAGTGTGGGACTTCTGTGGTTTGCTTGTCTGGTGCTGCTTGCTCTTTCCCCTCCTACTCCTGAACTGTGATATTCCTTCAGGCGCCACCCAGTCCTCCTTTCCTCCTGTCTTCTAGCCAACTAAACCAGGCAAGCAGTCCCTGTTGCCTTCATGCAGAAGTCCATGCTCCTTGGCCTGATCTTCACACAACCACACCCAACTCCTTAACCATTTTCCTCATCACTCCCCATCCAGTTAGGTCAGTTGCCTTATTATCCCTTTTGGACTTACTGTGCAAATTCTTGCCTTCATGAATCTGTTTTTTTCGTCCCCCACTTGGAATATCCTCTGCCTGTCCAGATTTTATGTCTCTTGGCCCTGGTTTGAATCTTTCTTTTCCTTTCATCCTTCTCCAGTTACTCTTTGTTCAGGTGGAGGCGAACATTTTCCTGGGATTTCCTGAATTTACATGTAATGAATGCTCAATAATGAGGTATAAAATATATTGT